CATAGAGGTTCCATAGGGAACATTCCATTAGATAGAAATTTGTCCGGTCAATCTCAAGGAAGTAATCCTTAATTATATGGCAGTGCGTCCCACCTCTGGCTACCAATTCCTCTACCATTTAGATGGTTCACCACTTACGCCTTACCAATTTTAGATCTGTTTTAGAAAAAACCTTAAAATATTCAGGTATAGACTGTTCTAGACTCAAAAGTCATTCCTTTCGAATTGGTGGTGCTACTTACTGGATTATGCAAGGCGTTTCAGAAGATGAAGTAAAAAAAATGGGCAGATGCAGCTCAAACTCGTATAAGCTCTATGTGAGGCCATAGTATAGTTAGTCCATGTTATCATTCTTTTGCATTTTTCCATATTAGGTGAACAGTCCAGCCATTCAGTTTGGTTGGTTGGCTCCTCAATTTTACGAGATGCTCATCAGTATGCAAAGTGTAACAGTACATTAGGTGAACATTTACAATTTAATACAATTGGTGTAAACGTTGTTTGGCGCTATAGACCAGGCTTAAAAATTCAGCACCCTTTATAATGATATTCAATTATTAGCCACTGAGCATAATTCTTTGCAGATATTTTGTTTATTCATTGTGGAGGAAATGATTTGGGTCAAAACCAGTCTTTCCTACATTAATTATTCTTTAATGGCGTGTCTTGCAGATTTATTACATTTATTACCAGGTACGAGAACCATTTGGTCTGCTATTCTTCCTAGGCTCCATTATCGAAATGAAGAAAATCATTTCAAGTTAAATAAAGGAAGAAAACCTATCAATAGCACCATGGCACACAACTTCTGATTTTCCAGAGTTTGTACATTCAATCATGTATATATATATATATTCTTTATATGTAAATTTCCAGACATCCGGAATTATGGTGGTCTGCCATATTGCCCCTTGGGATCAGCGCAGCACCAAAAAATTCTCTTGTGCATTGCAAATGTATTTAACAGCCATGGCCAAACACTGCCAAACTTATTTTATATGCATTGATTGACATTCTTAAGAATATAATATTATTAAATTAGTTTTGTATTAATGTTATAAACCTACAGAGATTATTGTAAGACATTGATATTTACAATTACATGTATTATTATTTTATAAAGAAAATAATAATTCAAATATATTATAAAACAGTTAGCTTTACTCTGTTTTTATTATATTGTATATTTAATTGAAACCCTTTCCCTGATGATATAATATATATCAAGTCTTGTCTTTAGATATATTTGTTATCTGGGAGGGAAAATAACTCCTCTTACCTTAATGGTAAAATTTGATATTCATTATCGGTCTTTATAATATGACGTCATAGTTTTATGTGTACTCACGACTAGACATTTCTGGAAACGCAGGGAGGAAGGTCAGACATTCTTTCCTCAGTTTTTAAATTCCCTCCACACCCACCCTTTCTATGGTCTTTTGCTGCTTTCTTTTATTGTCTATTTTCAGATTTGTCCACAACTTGGGGTTCGTCATGGCTGTCGTAACCGTTTCCAAAGTGGCTGCTCATTATGCGGGAACATGGATGCCTCGTATAGTAAAGTGTTTCACAATGGGCTTAGAATCGATGGAATGGATAAAATAGTAGTTTACGACATGAAAGTGTTCAAACTTGTGTAATGAAACATTATTATGTCTTTCAAAGGATTCAGTTTTCCTTTACATACGTACATTTTGATTAGATACCATTAATTGAAAATTATGGCATGGAACATTACTTCTTGTGTACTGTGAACATTATTTATGTCATTGATTTATTGAAAATTAAACCCTTGCATTTAATTGTATGCATATTTAAAATTGTTTAAACTTTTTAATGCCTTACATGTAGACATACTATATTGTTAAAGATTAATGTTTAATCAATTCTTTAATTATAATTGTAACTTAATACAGTAAGCAAGTCTATCCATTTGTAAATATGTAAACTTAAGTGTAGAGATTATTAATTTGACAAAATGTTTGTTATAAGCAAAGCTAGTGTTGTCAATTGTAATCGTATTAATCAGTTTGTTTCTTAATACTGTTTCTAATTCTATATGCAGTAAGCCCATTACTTTCAATTTCTTGAGCAGGCACTTGCGCAGATTTTTAATGCATTTGCAATGTACAAGGGTGTTTAGCAAACACAATTGTTTTTATAATTTTAAACATGATTGGATGTAGCTGTTTCAACAAGATATATTTTCCAAATGTCCGAAGTGAAATATAAATTTCCGATTGTCCGGAATGAAACATAAATTTCCAATTGTCCGGAATGATACATAAATTTCCGATTGTCCGGAATGATACATAAATTTCCGATTGTCCGGAATGATACATAAATTTCCGATTATCCGGAATATGAACAAATTTCCGATTATCCGGTATATGAAAATAAATTTCCGATTATCCGGAATATGAAAATAAATTACCGATTATCCGGAATATAAAATATAAATTTCCGATTGTCTGGGATACTTTATTACTATGTAACGCTCTCCAGTCTGAACAAAATAACTTCTGATTTTCCAGAGTTTGTACATTCAATCATGTATATATATATTCTTTATATGTAAATTTCCGAACATCCGGAATTACGGTGGTCTGCCATATTGCCCCTTGGGATCAGCGCAGCACCAAAAAATTCTCTTGTGCATTGCAAATGTATTTTACAGCCATGGCCAAAGACTGCCAAACTTATTTTATATGCATTGATTGACATTCTTAAGAATATAATATTGTTAAATTGGTTTTGTATTAATGTTATAAACCTACAGATATTATTGTAAGACATTGATATTTACAATTACATGTATTATTATTTTATAAAGAAAATAATAATTCAAATAGATTATAAAACAGTTAGCTTTACTCTGTTTTTATTATATCTTATATTTAATTGAAACCCTTTCCCTGATAATTTAATACATTGTACTTATATAACGTTATATCAATGCAATTTTTTTTATGATGTGTAATAGTATCAGCTATAAGTAAGTTAGAAATATACGAGTTTACACATTGCGCATGTCCAGTAACATATCTGGCCAGCCTCGACATCTATAAGAGTTTTCACGTCTTTTTGTTCTTTAACTTTTTGCGAGATATTCTTGATTATAAAATTACTCAACACAACCAAACAGTGACAATTATATATAGCTCAATCATGATGACTTCGTACCATACTCAATCATAACAAAATGACGTCTTTAATCAATTGGAACTATGGAATTTCTGTTATATTCACATACTTCAAAAATTTACTATTTCAAGTAACTATCTGTCATCAAAACAAAAAGAATCGCCTCCATTACAAAACTCTTTATACACGTCTTCATCATTATAATCTGGTATATGAAATATTCTTTTTAACAACAAATTTATATCTCACACACATTCCAGCAGTAAAAGATCAATTATATATCACTTATGTTGTTCAACATATCAAGTTATAGCTTGATATATTTTTTTCAGTATATTATAATTTGAGCCGTGTCACGACAAAACCAACATAATGGGTTTGCGACCAGCATGGATCCAGACCAGCCGCGCAGTCTGATCAGGATCCATCCTGTTCGCTATCAGTTTCTCTACTTGTAATAGAGTTGGTAAGCGAACAGTATGGATCCTGATCAGACTGCGCGGATGCGCAGGCTGGTCTGGATCCATGCTGGTCGCAAACCCATTATGTTGGTTTTGTCGTGACACGACTCATTTGTATTCCCGCTGTTACTTTGAATAGCCCGACTGATGTTGGTAATGATCTTGACCACAAACGAAAAACCGGTACAAATTCCTACTAGTGATGACGAGGGTGGGATAGATGTGTGTCTGTTTCAGTTCAAAAGTAATTGGAAGAAAACACAATCAATACAATTAACTATTTGCTATATTTTCTAAATGACACGGGCAGCATTTGTACATACTTGAAATCAATAATAGAACTTGTAAAAAATCACAAATGCATCAATAGGTTCATGTTATATCCAAGGAAATATAGCTCTTTTGGAAAAATTTAAATGTGCAAATTTTTATGATAACTATGTGAAATCATAAGTCAAGTTTATAATAGTAGTAGCATGACGTGTGAGCTGTTAAAGTATTATGTATCCAAACATTTTTTGCTTAAAATATATTGTTTGATACCTTTAGGACTACAAAAGCGTTTCATGTTTTTGCATTATTCCAAGTGTATTGTTTTGCCATAGTGATCACATTTTTAAAACCTGAACACAATAAAAAATGCTTCAAATGTAAATTGCAATCTTCAAATGGTTAAAGAGGATTTACTTAGTATCATTCAAATCAATTGCTGATTCATTTGTTACTTGCTATAATCACGCGGTTTTCCAAAACAAATTAAAATTAGCCTATCACATTTTTAAGGATTTCAAATTTATGTACATGATTAAAAAATTATACGTATAACCATAATAATGCATTTTTGCCATGCTTAATGAAAATATTGCATGTATTTTATGAATTCTTTATGTATCTTTTTTTGGACTGATGGAGAAAGGGAAGAATCAATATTTGAGGTTATTTTTATGTTGCATATTCCCATATAATTTGAGTGAGTACTTTTGACGTAAACCGACGGTAAATCTTGTTTCCTTTCTTTAAACCTTAAATTTGGGACGGAATGAATAACATAAAGCATAACATTGTGGTGTTCAGACCGATGAGGCAAAAGCCTTTTAGTCGCCTTCTGTGAGCGAGGAGACCAATAAATCTGGAAAAGATTATTAATGTTTTAATGTCAGGCGCTCAATTTATCCACCAAAATTGGAGATTTCAATGATGATATATGACCACAAACCTCTCCTTGATTCGCCAGACTAAGGAAACAAATAATGAGGACAATTTTTGAAGTATGGAAACACATAATTAAAAATTCGGACATATTGAGTCACAAGTTTAGATGACTTGACAATAGTAACTCCAAAGTATAAGCACCTAGACCCTACGCTTTGTCTGTGCAGATAAACTTGCACTTACCTCTTTTTTGTTTATCATATACCGTACGTGTTATTTGTTCTTCTAACATTTTGTCAAGTTGTTGTTCTATCTCATCTGTATTTAATCCCCTCTCTGTATAAGTCAAAAGGTCTGCAAGTTTGCTCTGATTTGTCATTTTAAGACGTTCTTTGAAATCTTTGTAAGCAAGTTCGCCTTTTGATCTTACTTTTGTCAAAATAGCTTCGTTTTTCTTTGTTGTAATTGTCTCATCCTGTAACAGTGTACTTGCTTTTGTAATCTTTCTATTGTAGATATACATTTTTTGAAGTTGTTTATGTAAACAAACATATATCACATAATCACGGTCCGTAACCGCATACAAAATTATCTTTCAATTTTATTAATTATATAGGTTGCAACAATAAAATAGCCCTTGAGTAAAGTTATATTAAGGACACGTAAAAGGTAGTAATTACTAACAAGATTCACTATCGCTTAACCCATTCAATGTTTTCTTATTATTAATATATATAAGCGATATCCACATATGAATAAATTGAAATTGCGTATACACCTTCTGTTATGGACATTATAATAGTTAGTCCTCGTAATAAAAGAAACCCATATTTTATAAAAATGTACTTGTAATAATTTTACATATTAACCTATATTGACACTAGCAAATTATTTTCTTCAAAGGTTATATTGTCGGCCTAGGTAAGTCGGATGCCGCCTACTATCTAAGCTCTATCACTTGTGGTATAAGAGAGAAACATTTTTTGAAGATATATTTTTCTAAAAAAAAGGGTTTTTCTAAAAAAGGTATCTATGTGACAGACTATATTCTTGACCCAAGTATTTTTGGTTCACATAATATAATGATTCAGGATTATTCCATTTTGTTTCAATTCCTGAAAAAAAAAATCAGCAGACATATAGATTTAATAATTTTAAGATGAATTTTAAATACAAAGGCAATATGCAATGAAGCATATTATAAAAGTAGTTGATATAATACCTTTATGTCCCGTCTGTCAATGCGGGAGAATAATTCGAACCCTGTGTCCAGGTCAATGATTTCATCGGGATTGAGATATGTTTTAAGCTTCCTTGTGCTTTGATCGAAGACTTTTCGCCAAACCTCGATTTCTAGTTCTGTAGATTGTACAGCCATCCTTTCTTTATTAAAATATATTAAAAAAAAAACAACTTAAAAATATCCAAATATATGGAAATATGATTTTGATTTCGTTTCGAGAAGAAAGTAGAAGAAATGTAAATTTATTCACACATTTTTAAGCTTTGACACTGAGCTTATACAAAAGGCATTACAATTTAAACATGGAAATCAATGATCTGCTACAATGATCAGCTGGCAAAGAAATCTAGTGTGGCATACCTAAATATAAAGGAAAATGTCCTGTTGGAATACTCAGCTTGCTAAGCAAAATTTTGTATAAAAATAATCTGTTGAAATAATCTGCTGTTCTGGCAATCTAGCGGGCAATCAGAATAATAGTGAAAAATGCTTTGCAGGATTAATCAGCTGGCTAAGCAATCTAGCAGGCCATTATAAAATAATCTGTAATATCATTTCTGCTGAAATGCCGAGCTGGCATAGCAATCTAGCGGGACATTCCTGAAAACAGTGTATATAATGCTTATATGTATGCTAAGCCGACAGACCAATCCAGCAAAAAATTCTAAAAATTTAAAGTCAAATTTCTCTGCTAGAATGCTCAACTGGCAGAGCAATATAGCGGGGTATGTTCTTAAAAAATGTAAAAAAAAACTCTGCTAGAAAACTCAGCTTGCAGAACAATGTTGCGGTGGATTCTTTAATATAGTATAAAATTGCTCTACTGGAATGCTGAGTTGGCTAAATAATATAGTTGGGTATTCCTAAACTAGGGTATATCGAATCAAAATGCTCTATTCGAATGCTCAGCTGGCTAAACAATCTAGCGGCACATTCTAAAATATTGTGTAAAATGCTCTGCTGGAATAAATTTTATAATTGGAATTGTTTGACATTCAGTTATGGACATTCCAAGTCATCATAACCACGCTATTTTACAAAAATGTAACGTTATAAAGGGCATTTGCTAGATATCATAAATGCAGTGATGGAAACTTAACTTATATAAAGGTTGAAGAAGACCATTTCTGATTATATACACATAAGGTAGCGAAATGGTAAGGCTTCATTTTGGAATGTAATTATTTCATTTGAAAAAAAAACAAACAAACAAAAAACAACAAAAACTTCATATTAACAAAATGTAGGTTATGTAAAAATGTAATATGTTGTTCGATGCTTAAGAAGCGCAACAGTGTTCTAAAGATCTATAAAGGTCGTGTTGGACCCTGTACTTTCATATTTCTTATATGTCTCAAATACCATCGAGTTATTTTTCCGCTTCAAGTATAGCAATGATGATAAGTGCAAACTTCTATTGAACAATATCTATGGTTGAAATCATCTCGTATTCAGAAATAGATATTGTGCTCCGACCCATACAAAACCTTCATAGCTATAACTAAGAAAGAGATGATTGAGTTCTACGCTTGCCCAATCTGATATTGTGATCCATAGCTTTTTTCAACCTAAAACAAGTGACGCTCAGCAGTAGTCCTAGTAAATAAGCCATTATCTAAATATTATGTCTTTTTGTTGGGTCCGAGCTAAAATATACTATTTCAAACTGACCATTCTTCAAAAGTATAGTTTTTCTTTGTATTTAGTGTGGTCATTACATAAATTTACGCTCCCCGTTTATTATATTTTTGTCCTTTTTTTTTTCGAGAAATGACGTCATTGTTATTACTTTGCATAAATATGGACGGATCATCGTTTTGACTCTGTGTATTTTTATAGTTTGAGAGCATACTCTGTTACATAGCTTTGAAACTAAGTTGTGTCTAGGTTGTCTCTTACCTTGTTCTTCTGCCAGTTGCTGCGCCATGTCCGCTTGTTGTTGTATGGGTGTCACAGGCGGTGGTGTAGGAGCCCTATCCGGAGGTGTAGGAGCCCTTGGTGTGGGTGTAGGTGGCGTAGCCAGAGGTGTAGGAGCCCTTGGTGTGGGTGTAGGTGCTCTTTGCATGGATATAGGTGGCATAGTCGTGGGTGTAGGAACCTTTTGCATTGGTGTAGGTCCCCTTATCGGGTGTGTTGGTGCTATTGTCATGGGTGAAGGAAATATTGCTGTAGGTGTATGTGACGTAGGAGGAATCGGAGGTGCCCTTGGCGTGGGTGAAGGGGGCTCAGTCGGGGGTATAGGCGCTCCTGGCGTAGATGAATGTGGCCTAGGTGGTAGTGTACCAACCGAAGACATTATTGGTGTGGTTGTCCTTGGTATAGTTGGCCGCCTGTTACGTAGCGACGATTGGTCATGATCCTTAAGTCTGACAGGTACTTTCGTCTTTTGAGTCGATCGCCTTATATTCTCTGAATATAAATAAATAAAAATATTTTGGTTAAAAAAACCTTTTCATTTTATTCCTCTCAGAATATTTTTATTGTCAAGAACACGAGAACCGAAAACTCCGAAAACCAGAATCAATTTTTTCCCAATAAGTTCATACAAAGTATCCTCTAAAAACCGGAACCTCTGAAATCCGAAAACCGGACGGTTTTCTATGGCTACTTATGTATTCTGCGTATGCTTCATATTTGGGATGGGCGTTTAGATACGGGTTCTTACACAGATTACGGACACAATGGTTGTTAAACAATAAATCATGTATTGTGTCAACAGGCTAATTTTTGGCGTATTAGTACTTTCGACACAAGCGATTTTATGAGTGTTAAGACCATGTTATGTTACAGTTTAGCATCATGGCACATAAGTATGAGGAACCCGAAGTATAAAATGTATATACAGGCTGTCAAGTGGTCCCACACCATAAAATAGGAAAAAAGTAGGAACACGTTTTGCCAAAAAGTAGGAAAATAGTAGAAAAAAGTAATAACATTTACCATAAAAAGTAGGAATATTTAGCTGTCTTACCTAATTAAATACTAAATGATTTGTATTCTTTGATTTAATTAACCTAACAATTGCATACTGATTACATGGTCAATGCACACAATTTATCAATCGACGAAAATTTCGTGAGATGCACACAGTAAGATGTGATTAGATATGATTTGTTTCTAATGAAATAATTATACTGACCTTTATAGCGCAATAGAGTAAACTTCCGGTTTATAATTTTTTAATGTCCTATTTGTCTTTAGTTCCCTTTTTTAAGTTATAAATATTTTCAACATTAATGAAACTATGATTTTTGTTTTTGGATTTTTTAGTATTTTTTGCACTCACTTATTTATATAAAGGCTATATTCTTTTGAATAACATGATTAAAGAACTAATATTCAGAGTTCATTCTGAATTGAAATCAATAAATATCTTTTCAGTGCTGTAAAAGACTATGCAAAACGAAATAAATCAGTGTTTCTAAGTTGTAGACAATTTTGAAAGCACTTAAATTTTATTATAATTATACTTCATGTAGCAATTTTCAAGCTTTACTGGTTGCGTGAGACCTAAAATACCCCAACTGGTATTGCTTTAGGCACCTGAGTAGCATCACTGACGTTCTGTAAGCTAGCTGGATAGATTCATTACATAAAGCAAATATTAAATCTTAACATCCTTATTGGGTTTCGAACCCATAACGTAGTGTTTGATGTCAACGGCCATAATGACTTGGCCACGGATGTCCCTTACTGTCAAACTTATTCACATAAATATATAAAAATAGATTCACTTTACCGTTTGGAAAACATTTCGCGCATGCTATAACAAATCCGGCAAAAGCGACGAGAAAAGCAATAATAAAGCCAAATGTTTGCGTGTCTACCAAATCCATGGTTTCTGTGGATCTGCAAAAGAAAGATACCATCATAAACTTTAATTCATAAAAGCAAATGCACCTTATTTAATCATATTGCAATTATGCGGTTCCTTTAGCCAAGATATTATTGACAAGTTTATCATTTTCAGGTAATGGCTTTACTCCAATTCCCCTATAAAGGTGTCATTATTGTTTGCTTTTCTTGCGATCCCTATTGCTCATCAAATACAAACTTGATTATCATTACTTGTGTTATTTTCCTTTTATTTTCTTACAAATTTATATAATAAACGTCTTGATTTGTGAAGTTTTTTTAAAAAAAAAATAGAATACTGATTAGCTTAATATATAGTATATAAATACATTTTAAGGATCCATTTACATAGTAAAAAAGCATAAATGATGAAAACAGAAATAAAACCTATTGTTTTTAAACCAGAATTTTAAAAATAAACAAAACAAAAAACTTTTTTATGCATGTGATAAACATTTGATGTTCTAAATATATTTGACTCTATAGGTCAGGGTGAAATTTGTATCGTCTGTAATTTTTGTCCTAGGTGTTTGTTTAGTATGAAATAAGTCATCTCCTTTCAAGGAAAAGTACGTCAATATCAGGAGAAATCAATGATATCAAATTACACTATTATCACTCATTATTTAAGTCATAGGTCTTTTTGTCAAATATAATTCAAATTTTTCATCTATTGACAAAGTGATTGCCATTTGATAATCAAAGTTCAAAAATAGTACGCTGATTTTCAATGTCAATTTAAACCCAATGTCATCGTTTGCAGTATTGTTTTATGCTTAGTATTGTTTTGTCAAATTATGAATGACATATAATCATAGATAACAAAATTATTGCTGCATTCACAAAATATCAGTAAGGTCTAGGTCATATATAAGTCATGACTCAGCTTAAAGCATTTTAAGGAATTTTCAAAGGGCTATAAGTATTCCGATTTACAAAATAGTTATAGCTATTTTAGCTAAATTCCATGCAATGACTTTGAACATCAAGGTCACATATGAGTCAAGGTCTAATTCCTTACAATATAAAGGTATACTGCCTGATATTTCCTCCTTACAAGCTTTGTAAAAAAGTTAATGCACAGTTATAGCAAATAGCATAAAAAAAATAATTTGACTATAAAAGTGAAGGCATATAAACTTTAAGGTATAATTCCACTCAATATTATTGTTAGTCCAAGTAAAGATGAAATACGCCCGTAATATACCAAGTTACAGCAATATAAGCAAAGTCAAGTATAATACAAAATACTAATAAGCAGATGTATTTAGCCTTTAAGTGACTTATTATCTGAACGTCTTCATGAATTTTATTACATATCGATGTGCGATTGGTTAGGGGTTACGTATATCTCAACTATATTGAAAGCTATCGTAAACCCATAAAAGTAGAAACATAAAAATTTAACCTTGTAATCAAAATTGTCGAATCAGCATATCTTTAAACAAGATACTATTCAAAAGATCAAAAGCACAAAATGTTACCGTAATTATGTTTTAAATAAGTTTTATTTTAACACAATCTGTTTAAATTTAAACAAAACACAACAACAAAATCCAGTAGAGGTTTCAATCTATTCACATTTTAAAGGGGGAAAAACAACAAAACAAAATAATAGGGCCATGATGGCCTTGAGTCGGTCACCAGAAACAACTGCTTTTCAGTGTTGGAAATTTTGGGGTATTTATTTAAGCGTTAGCTTAAACGATCAAATTAATATAAGCAAACTTAATAAAATACTACCTTAGAATGCTACAAACAAAGTTTGGTGATCATCCAACAATTATTTCAGTAGGAAATGATGTTTTTTTCTATTTTTAAATTAAGCGGCCGCTAAAAGGGGAAAATCAAATTAATATGAGCACACTTCATAAAATATTAGGAATGCTACAAACAAAATTTGGTAATCATCCATCCATTAGTTCTGTAGAAGGAGATGTTTAAATGTACTTCTATTTTTAGCTTTAGCGGCCCCTAAAAGGTGACAATCAAATATGAGCAAACTTGATAAAAAAAATCCCAAGAATGCTACAGACAAAGTTTGGTGATCATTCATCAATCTTTTCAGAAGGAAATGATGTTCAAAATAGCTAAAGAAGATTGTTCCATTTTTAGCTTTAATGGACACTTAAAGGGGCCAATCAAAAATAATATTAAAAAAACTTGATACAAGTGTATCTTTAAATGCTACAGACAAAGTTTGGAGATCATTTATAAATTAGTTCTGAAGAAGGAGACATTTCAATGTATTCCTATATTTGGCTTTAGCGGCCCCTAATAGAGGCCAATCAAATAAATATGAGCAAACTTGATAAACGACTAACCAAGAATGTTACAGACAAAAAAGTTTGGTGATCACCCATTAATTATTTCTGAAGGAAATGATGTTCCAAGTTTTTTTTTCTTTCTATTTTTAGCTTGTCGGCTCTTAAAAGGGGCTAATCAAATTTATATGAGCAAATTTGATAAAAGACTACCCTTGAATGCTAAAGACACAATTTGGCGAGCATCCATCAATTAGTTCTGTTAAAGGATATGTTTGAAGGTTTTTTCTATTTTTAGCTCTGTTGACCCCTTAAAAGGCAAATTGAAATGACATGATCAAATTCAAGTGTGATTAGCAGAAAGATGCTACAGACCAAATTTGAAGTATATCTTCTCAGCGATTGTTGACTCATGACGACGGACGCCGGAGCATCTACCTTTGACACTAATAGCTCACCCTGAACCTTCGGTTCTGGTGGGCTAATAAAGTGCACTTTACTGCTTGTAAAAATACATGTACATATTAATGTTTATAGATTTGATAAGTCATGAATTCGCAATGTGATTATTGAAGCAAAGGCATTTTAAGTAAATCATGAAAATAAATTCCTGATCTTCATTATTTGCCCAGGTAGTTTATGAATCATTTGTTTGTTCGTGACTGATTGCAGTGTCTTATTACCATAATCAATGAACCATTAATATCGTCTTTTGATAACCGTTTCATGCAATTTTGCCTTAATTTCTTATATCACCAATATCATACTGACCTTAGAAAAGCTATAATCAGTATGAGTTGTGCTAATTTCATTAACTTGAATACATCTTTATATTTGTGATTGTTTCGTTAATATATTTATATTTCAAGTTTGATTGAACCCATGCAACAGAATACATTAATTTAAGATGTAACGCCAACGGTATATATACATAAAAGGCTTTTACAAATTCACCTGATGAAAGAAGACAATTTCGCAAGATATATTAACTAAATCAGTTCATGATATAAGAGGTTTTAAACAACCAATGTGTCATGTTACGACTAACATTTTGATTTAACTACCTAGATTTGAGTGATATTCGTTTTGAATAAATAAATCGATAATTACATTTCAGAGAATCTTTAAAGAATTTATAAGCTAATGATGCGCTTTGATACAATTGAAACACACACACACACACACGCCCGAGCCCGCCCGCACGCACACACATACACGCATGCACATACAAAGTTAAAGAGACACGAGGGATGATAAAATGAAAAAATGGAGTAAAATGTAAAGTTTACGGTAAATTATGGTTTAATTAGGTCAATTGTGTAAATCTATTATTACTGACATCTAAATTCAAGAAAGAATGTTGACAAAAGCATCAATATATCGTGTTTCTTCTCTGCATAATATACTTCATTATTAACGCAGTAGCATGTATAAATAGAAGATTATTGATTCAACATGGTCACGTGTAACAACAGTGGTTCGGAACATCCCGGTATTCGGTAGGACGAGGTTGTATATCAATTTACGTCAATTATTAGGCTCTACTCATGTTTCAAGCTTAAAGTTTAAATCGATATATTGGCCATCATATATATTATAAAATTAATCAATTATATGTTTAATGCCACAAAATACTATAAATATCAAAACCAAAACAGTTTATTCGTTTCCCTCAATGTTTGATAAAATCCCGGAGTCCGTGCGTTCCGGATCACTGGTCTACATACTGACATGTACAATCACATGGAACTGAAAAAAACCAACTGAAGGAAGTTCGTACGATAAAAAATGAAGGTATATCCCGTTGGCGGATAAGCAAACAGTTATCTTCATAATAATGTTAAAATATGAACATTTTGAAGTGTCATTACTATTTCTTAAAATATATATATAAATTTTTCTGAGGAGGGATTTTTAAATATCATTTTTTCCGTTACCTTCTTGAGTCCTGCTGCTTAAGACTTATACGGAAATGCAAAACACAACGTTTGCCTATTTTCATTAAAGCGCGGGGGAAAATACGTACTATAGGCAAGATGACGTCAGGTGTTAAACTACTACGAGAACGCTGCGCAAACAAAAGTAATTTAAGTTTATTAACATCATCGCGGTGCAGCTTCTAACTATTATAGAAACGAAATGATATTTTAATTGACAAATATGACATTATGAACACACGCAACATTTACTTTTTATGCGCACGCGCAATTAACAGTCTACGAGGTATGGTCATTGAATATGGGTCTAAATCTATTTTTGATACTCCGAATATCCAATTAAGACAGTGAATATATGATACTTCATCCGGTGAATATGATTTGATAAATATTTCAGTTGACGACTGTTTGGACCAATGAGATTGCAGCTATATTTAGATCATATAATAAGATATAATGTAATACGTGAATCTATCAGAAATTCTTGTTTGTCACACTTTTCTAAAGTTCCATAGAACAACGAATGTTTTCACGATTCAAAAAATATTTGAAGCCAAGAAAACTTATAGTTGGTAAGCAGACAAGAATCTCTGAGATTGCAGTGTAGTAAAATATTCATGGTTCATTATAAACATACTTTAGATATGTTAATGCTTGCTTCAAACATACTTCTAACTCACTTTAAACTACATTTCTATAATAAAAACAAATGAAATATGATATTCGCAACACTGGTAGTTTAAACAATAACATCAGATAACACTAATCTTACAATGATATTCATGTTTATTTA